ACGGCGATGACGACATCGCACCGCGGGGGAAACTCGTGGTTCCCACAAGGTTTGCTCCTGAGCCTGCAAACTCCGAGTTCTGCATTCAGACTTAGGAAAAAGAGAGAAAGAAAAAGTTCATCCTATTCCCCGATCTCTCAAGAGTAAAACGCTTAGGATCGCAGATTGCGCGCGGCTCCCCCGGGGACCCGAGTGGGCTCGGCAGGCCGAACTTTGACAAGTTGCCTATTGCCAGAGACGCCGACAGCCGTCAACTACGAACAGGGTTATTCTCTCAGCCACAACGAGCCAGAGAAATAGTCATGATTGGAAACATGATGGACCTGCCCTTGATTGAAACGTTTGGACCTTGGGTCGGCTTTTCTACCCGTTTCTTCTTGTTTTGTAAACACAGCTCGGGGCGGTCTCACACTCACTGTGCATCAGAGTCTGGCCCTAGTCTCCTGCTCTACCTGCTTCTGCCTGCCTAGTGCTGGGATTTACAGGCATTACCCACCCACCGTACTGGCTCAGCTTTGATTTTTTTTTTTTTTTTCCTGTCCATCAGTGCTTGGTAGTTTTTTGTATTGTACTTATTTCCAAATTAACCTTGCTATTTTGAAAAGCCATATTGGAGGTGGCTCAAAGGCAGCCTTCGTTTGCTAGGAGTTGTTCTTTTCATTGTCAGTCCCTCACCACCACCACCCCCAACGACCCCCCACCACACACACACACACACTTATGTAACTTTTCTTCCGGAATGTACTTTGTACTTTCTCATCTAAGTCTCTGGGTCGTCTCTTTTGGGGGCCCATAGCCCCGTAGTCCGTCATAAGCATGTGACAGGTGTATGTGTGATTCTTTCCTTTTTGACTCAGTACAGTTGCAGTAGTAAACATTTAGCAAAGCACATTCCAAAGGGATTGATCAGAGCTTGATAGCAGATAGATTTGGATTCACTTTAGGGCCTCTCCAGTTTCTTATCCACCTTGGCTCTTTGCTGCCTTGGGACTTTTTTTGTTTTTGTTTTTTGTTTTGTAAAAGACAATCTGCTGATTTAAAATAATACATATAATTAGGATGTATAATACCTGTTACAAATAGGTATAGAATAAGGGATTATTTCAAACATTTTGTAATAGTTCAATTTTTTAAAATTCTATGATAGTTTGGATTTAGTCTATACATATTATAGGGTTTTTCAAGTTTAGTTTTTCTTATAAACTTGGTGTTTTCTGAAGTTAAAAGTGATTATGCATTAGGCAGGCGGTGGTACACACCTTTCATCCCAACACTCAGGAGGCAGAGGCAGTTGAAGAGTTCAGACCAGCCTGGTCTACATGAGCTAGTTCCCAGACAGGCTCCAAAACTACACTGGAAAATCCTGTCTTGAAAAACAAAACAAACAAGCAAAAAGTGATAATGTATTAACAAAAGTAGCAGCATGTCTATATTGGCAAATGAACTGAAAGTAAGATTTTTTTCTTAAGAAAATTAAGAGTAACTAGAATGTCTCAGAATCGTTTTTTTTTTTATATAAAGGTATTATGCACTGAAGAACTTTAAATGATGAATATAGTGAGGAAGTTTTTCTCCATTTCCATAACAGAAAAAATCCCTTTTATTTATTTGTCTTTTTTAGCAGTCATCCACTAAGGTCATTATTTTTGCATGGGCTTTGGAAAGCCCTTGCACAGAATAAATAGCTTCTGTATTGAGTGATTAAATGGCATCTTATGTAAACAAATGATCACACATTTCATACCTTCATATAACATGGTGGGGTGCTTGGTCTGTAATGCAAATGTTGAATATATTATCACTATTTTTATTAAAAGAAGTGTGGACACTCTCCAGTAGTACTCTCAGTAAGCAACTATGGTTGCCATAACCAGCTGACTTAATGCCATTAGCTGATTCAGTGCTGTGCTGCTCCAGGGCTGTGGCATACATCCTTGTCTGTGGGTTGACTCTACCTTGATTGTTGGAAGATGTTTTGAAATAGCAAAAGTCAGTACAGCTTTTTAAAACTAAGGTAATTAAGGCATTACTGCTTGTAGAATTGAAGCAGAGTGTGTATAAGCCACTAGCAAACTGAAACAGTACATGTTGTCAGACTTCTTTTATTTCCTCAAATCAAAGCGTTTGGTCGGCTCAGTTTGAAATATTTTATTATGCCAGATGCAATGGATCAACTAGAACAAAGAGTCAGTGAATTCTTTATGAATGCAAAGAAGAACAAACCTGAGTGGCGAGAAGAGCAGATGGCATCCATCAAAAAAGTAAGTGGAATACCATGGACGATTGTCAATCACAGTGAAGTCCTGGATATTGAGTGAAGAAACATTGTGAGTGACTTGCAGGGGTGCGAGTTAGAGGAATGGTTCTCAACCTGTGGGGTCATGACCCCTCTGGGGTGGAATATCCCTTTCACAGGGGTCTCCAAAACTATCAGAAAACACAGGTACGTTACCATTCATAACAGTAGCAAAATTACAGTGCAGAAGTAGCAATGAAAATGATTTTGTGCTTGGGGGTCACCACAGCAAGAGGAACTGCGTTAAAGGGTCCCAGCATTAGGAAGGTTGAGAAACACTGTATTAGAGTGTCTTGTCATTGTTTCTACAACTTAGCTAGTGCTGGGACTTAGGACTGTCCCACTGATGAGAGCGAAGCTTAGATACACCCACTGAGTGTGCTGTGATACGGGATCTGGTGTCTTCAAGGATGCATTGGAAGCACAACTTCAAAGACTTGGCCTTGGATACTGCCATGCAGCTGTATCACTTGGGTCAAGTCCTTTAATATGAAGAATACGTACCTATACCGAACCTTTTTATAAATTTTCAGGGATCTACAGAAAAAATAATTTTGAAACTAAAATTTTCATAGTTGTATTATTCTTCCATCTGGAAGGAAGATCATTTCTATTAGGGGGAAAGCCTACATTCATAGAGAAGTGGTCTTGCCTTATAAAATACCTAGTGTCCCAGAGTTTAGAACTTGGATATGTAAAACTAAAATTCACTGGCCATCCCATTCAACTAAAGTGTTTTTGATGTAGCACAACTTGAACATACCTCTGCAAGTCTAGTGGTTTGTGGAAGCCCATAGGATATTTTTTTTCTTTTTTAAAAAGTAATTTTGTTTTGTAAATCATAATATGGAAAAATATAAACTACAGTTTGAGTGGTTTGAATTTATACCTAATTTAAACTAGAGCTATAGACCAATTAGACAGCAGAAACATACAGATCAGAATCCTTTCTGTGGATATATTTTTGTTATTAAAAATGGGCTGGAAAACAAACAAACAAACAAAAAAAAAATGGGGCTGGAGAAATGGCTCAATGATTAAGAACACTGGCTGCTCTTCCAGAAGACCAGCTTTTATTCCCAACACACCCACATGATGGCTCACACCCATCTCTAACTGCAGTTTGAGTGGATCTGGTGACCTCCTCTGACTTCTGGGGACATGTGGTACACATACATACATGGAGGCAACATATACACATAAATAGTTTTTTAAGTTGTAAAAATGAAGTATCGGTATATTTTATATGTTCACTAAATCTTAGCATTCTTTTATTCTTTCATACGTTTATTAACTTATCATTTTCTGGTAAAGAGGCTGGAATTGGCATAATTTCTTTTTTTTTCTTTTTCCTTTTTTTTTTTTGGTTTTTCGAGAAAGGATTTCTCTGTGTAGCTTTGGAGCGTATCCTGACACTCGCTCTGGAGTCCAGGCTGGCCTCGAACTCACAGAGATCCACCTGCCTCTGCCTCCCGAGTGCTGGGATTAAAGGTGTGTGCCACCAATGCCCGGCAGCATAATTTCTTTTTATTTGTCTTTTCTGAGATTTTTTGAAAGTCATCTTTTAATTTTTGACATTGCCCTTCAATTCTAATGTTCTCTCAACCAACCCTGCCATGGGAGGCTTGCTCTTGCTAGTATGAGATGACTGAATGATAACAAGGTAGAATAATGAATGAAAAGGCAGGAATATATATGTATGTATGCATGCTAAAGTTACCAATGCTTAGAATGAAAATGTTTTTCTTTAGGACTACTATAAGGCTTTGGAAGATGCGGATGAGAAAGTACAGTTGGCAAACCAAATATATGATTTGGTAAGTAAAATCGTGTGCGTGTTACGCAGTGTCTGCTAGAATCCAGGATTTCATTACCAGTTTTATTAGCTTAAATGTAAACTGGGGTGTTGCTCTCTTGATCATACTTAATTTGAGAGTTGAGTGTCTGTGTCTTGGTTTCTTTGGGGGAAGAGTCAGAGAAGTCCACAGTGTTTAGTTAATAGGTCAAAAGCCACACATTTCAATAAGATTACTGTAAGACTCTGGGTGCTGTTTTTATTTCAGAAAGAATTGGCATTATTTAACATCTTTTCTATTTTTTTCAAATTGTTTCTATGATAAAACGTAATTAAGATTACTGTATTAGTGAAAGCTCTTGGTAGTCTGATTAAAATGAGAAAGAGGATTCCATGTTAAGTGTTTGCTTTTTGTTTTGTTTTGTTGTTGTTGTCATTTTCTGTTTTACTGTTTCGTTTTGTTTTGTCCACTGTGTGTGGTGGAGTTATTTTATGTTGTGGTTTTTTGAGAGACAGGGAAAAAGAACATGAAGTTGGGAGGGTAGGGAGGTGGGGAGGACTTGGGAGGAGTTGGAGGAGGGGAAAGAATATGATAAAAAATATATTGTATGTAAACAAATTTTAATAAAACGAAAAGAAAAGGAAAAAAAAAGGTGTTTCTTTCTTGCAATAGTAATTCTAGAAATTTGGAATCAACCAAGGAGAGAGTTACACATTCATTTGCTTCTCAAATTGATATTGTGATGGTATCATTATATGATATGAAACATCTGTTTTTAATGCAAAGCTTATCCTTAAGTATGTAATTGAGGAAAAATTAATTTCTCTTTTTGTATCAGAGTAAGTAGAAGCAGAAAAACAATGTTCACTTTTGGTTGACTTCAGCTTTTACATTTTATGTCTCAATTTTGCAATGTTTTCCAGATACAGTTTACCATTGAAAAAATACATGCAAATAAAATGTTATTAGTGAACATGACACATGATAAAATGTTCTAATTTCATCTCTTTTTACTGGTGTAAAATGCTCTAACCAAAAGCAACATAAGGAAGGAAATGATTTATTTCACTGTGTAGGTAACAGTTCCTGGTTGAGAAAAGTTAGGGCAGGAATTTGAAGTAGAAACCATGAAGGAACTGTACTTGCCGGCTTATACAAACTCATGCTCTGCTAACTTATAGAGCCTAGGACTGCCTGCCCAAGGAATGGTACCACCCACAGTGGACAGGCCCCTCCCATATGAATTGACAATCAAGACAGAACCCCCCACCCCCCAGACATGCTCATAGGTCAATTTGATCTAGTCAGTTCATCTCTCAGATGACTCTAGGCTGTCAAGTTGACAGTTAAAGCTAACTAGGAAAAAAAGGTACCCACTGTATATGTGATGCATACAAATGCTTGCATTAAACTATAATATCAGTGTCATATAAGAAAGTATGCTATTGTTTTTATGTAGTGGAATTTTTAAAGTTTTAATTACTTTCTTAATCTTGCCGGATTGACAAGTGGTTGAAAGGGACAGTTGCAAACAAACTGATGTAAAAAAAAAAAAAAAAAAGCTTCCTTGAAAACCCCGTATTTACTATTCTGAGGCTTCTGAAAATGCTTAAGACCTTAGTTACTAAAGGTAGAAGTACTTTGTTCATGAGTCATACTCTTTTTTATTATTATTCCTTTGCTTATTTTTGTCCTTCCACAGTTATATCACATGTGTATAATGAATTTAGTCATTTTCACTCCTAATTCTGCTCTCTCATCCCAATGCCTGCTGAACTGTCACTGTTCTCAGGAAGCCAGCCTCCCACTTTCACATCTTCTTGTGTGACCCACTTCCGTTAGAGTTCTTTGCACAAGCATGGGTGGGAGGGTATTTCCTTGAGCATGAGCAACTTAGCAGCTCCACCACTGAAGAAAATGTTACCTCACCCTCAGCAACCATTAACTGCCAGCAGACCTCAGGGAGGGTGGGACCTGTAGGTCCCCTTGTTATCCAGGCTCAGTTTGTGCAGGTAACCACAACTGCAGTGAATTCACCAGTACAGTGCTGTGGCGTGGCCAGGAGATGTGGGTTTTGTTGCACGTCTCCCTGTCTTTGGGAGTGCTCCCCAAGCTTTGGAGCGGATTAGGTGGATGTCCCCCTTAGGGCTGAACACACCCCATCCTGTCGTCTTGGCACTTTGACCAGTTAAGAGTCTGCATCAATTGCCATGTACTGTATATAAGAGGCTTCTCTGACCCAGGCTGAGAACAGCCCTAAGGTGTACATATAAATACGAGTATTTAGAAGGAAATGTATTCAGAAGCCTGACTGTTTAGCAAAGCCATAGTGGAGTGGGCTTCAAATCCAGTCCGAAAGCTGTCTGTCACCTCCATTAACCTTCAAAGGCACGTTTGAACCAGAGGGCACGTCTTGCCTGGCCGGTTGTCACTATATCACATGGCCGGGTAAGAGTGTTGATGCTTTTCTCCCACAACAGCTTGCAGTGTCTTCTGGAACAGTGAAAGCAGTGGGGAGGAAGTTTCCAACTCAGTTCTAGCTTGACCTCTCTGTCTTACTGATGAGTGTCTTCAGCAGTAGGGCTATCTGGTCATATTATCAAGTTCTGGTGAGAAACCAAGTAGTTACGGTTTGGGTTTTTTTTGTTTTGTTTTGTTTTTTTAGTGACCATAATAAGCTTGGCTTTTCATACATGGAGTAGACATGATAAGTGAGCATCCATAATTGTGTGGCAATGGGAATAGAAACCCTATTTAAGTGCTTCACTGACTGTGGCACTGTAAACAATTTAATCTCTAAACTCAGCTTCTTTATAACATGGATTTTTAATCTCATGCTAAACCATTTTCATGCACTTTTGCATGCACACATACATGTACACGCACATACATACATGCAATCACACACACCACTTTTAAGATGGCGTTCCCTCCTTTAAAGACTCACTTTATCTCCTTCTTCCAACTGGAGTTTTCTCAGCTCTTCCAAGTTGAAGCTGTTTTCTTTTACCTGCTAATATCACTAGGGCTCACATTTTCTCTTTTTTTCCTTTTCCCTTCTTGCTACCTCTGCCCTCCTTTCTGCTACTTTGCCTCCCTTCCCTTTAAATTATGCCATTGCCATTCCAATAACCCTTTTATTCCTATTGAAGTACTATTTCTTCTGTATTACCTCCTATGTAGAATCTAAACACAATTCAGAATCAGAATAGAGGTTATGAAGATTCTCGGGATCATAGGGGATGTTGGTGAGTAGGTACTAAGTTACAGTACCTACTATCACTAATGCATGCTATTTTAAAAAGGTAAAAGACAGGGAGGGTTTCATTGTTTTTGCCCTTAAGAAAAAGAGATCAAGTGTCGAGATGGATGTATTCTGATTTGAATATTACAAATTATGTGTGTTTTGATGTATCATATTGTACCTCAGAAACACATGTTTTCAGAATTAGTATTTTCGGATTTTATTTTTATTATGTGTATATGTGTGTGTGAGAGAGAGACATCACTGAATGTGTGGGTGGGTGGGTGGGTG